TAATATATATCAATATACCTTCTTGTCAATATTCAAACTTCTTTTTTCCTCTTTCAGTTTGGTACCTGGTAATCCTGTAATTCGTAAACCTCACAAATTTTAACTTGGATTTTGAATATACTTACAATGCATGCAGTAGATTAACTGTAAAGTCTTCATTCAAATATGGTGACTTAGTAGATAATTTCACAATACAAAACAATTCTTCTGTGGTTTCATTAGTCCAAAATTGCAGATTCCAAATTGAATCTAAATAGAAAGTTAAGCATTTAAAAAAACACACCCCAAAACTCCAATCCCTGTAACCCCGAATAATTTATCATGCTCTCATTGGGGGTCCTATAAATGTACAAATTAAATTATAATATATCACTGCATTACATCAAATCATTTTTGCAAATACAAAAATGGTGGAGTTTGTGTCATGAAGTCAGATTTTATCAACCCCCACTTCTCCCCCATCTCATGGGCAATCCCATACAACTACTACCGGTATTATGCATATTTATTTATCCCTTCAATAATACCTTTAGGCAAGACTGGAATATACAATTTCTCCATTGACACTGACTTTAACTCCATTCAAGCAGTAGTCAAAATTCCGTTGCTGAAAATATTTTTTTTTAAAGTTATTGTAATTTGTTTTAGTTTGGTCACTATTTTATTCATGATCTATTTTACTGCATACAATTTCATTTATCTATGTTCTTTGCTCATATTTTCATTGTATATGAAATAATCTCAGTATAAATTAAAAGCACATTTTCCAAGCACACCTATCTGCTGAAGTGTTGAACCGACAATTCTTGAAGAAATAAGTGCTTTGGCTTCCATTTCTGCAGTGTGTGCCAAACAATTCATATATGTATCACTCCAATGGCAACACAAGACGTTATCTCCAGCCACAAATACAGTGGCATTGGCTCCAATTGTACCATGCACATCTTGCCAAGTGGGAACATCCTCTGCCATTCTAGCTGGTATACAGGGCATTTGAAAGCTCTGTGGAGGAATCTGATATACCATGCAATGAGAAATGACCACTTGAAAGAAATCTAAAGAGAAAAAAAGAAGTTTGAATATTGACAAGAAGGTATATTGATATATATTATATGTTACATTAATCAATAGAATTTGATTGCAACAATTTTAATATCAACAATGTTTCAAAAACACAAAATTACACACACACACACACACACACACACACATGTACACACACACACAAATAGCCAAATAACATTCATTGTCACACAGTTTCTTATCTGTTGCAATTCTTAAACTACCATTGGTGGCTTAAATAACTTAAAATCTGTAGACTAAATCTATAACTATTTTAGTAAGATTAGCTGGTATAATCCTAATAAGTATTCAGAATGGCTTAATGTGTCATTCTAACCTTCTATTAATATCTACAGGATGCAAATCTTACCTGCCATAAACAGAGCTTACAGAAATCTCCGGGTTAAGAGTGAGATCCATTCCTATCTGTCCTTAACTCAAAATTACGCATACGAATTGATTGCCTATTCCTAAAAATGGTGGATAGTGTTTTTCGTTTCAGCTGTATATTAAAAATTTGCTGCTTCAGCAGTTCATGAAAATGTTGTGGTTCAGTGGTTCATCATCCAGAGGAAGGAGTTTTCCATTTGTAAGTACACGTTATCCATCAGTCGGACATTCTTAACTCGGGGACTGCATACTTCTAGTCCACTGTAAAAATTTTATATACCGGTATGTATTTCTTTGGTACCTTCAACTCACTGGTGACTCCTAGTGATTNTGCTTCAAATACCAGCGTTTCTGAGCCAACATTTTGATTGCTAAGCAAGAGCGTTGTTAAGTGAGTTTCACCACATTTTACAAGTTGGCCACGCCCACCCAGTCACATGGTCAGCAAGCCACTCCAACCTGGTCAAATGGCCAGCAAGTCACTCCCACAAAGCAGGCCACACCTACAGAAGAGGTTCTAAATAATTTTGAAACCCACCACTGAACTAAGGGTACCCTATAATAGAATAGAATATTTTATTGGTCAACTGTGATTGGACACACAAGGAATTTGTCTCCAGTGCATAAGTTTTCAGTGTATATACAAACAACAAAGTAATATAATCATAAGATACTAATAAGAGAAGGTAGTAGAAAATATATTGTTTTATTAGAAAAGACTGGTGTCTTTGACTTGTCAAGTCTTCAGACTCATTTATGTGTTTTGTGACACATCATAGATTATGAAAAATAATATATTCTTCCTTGAATATAATATAAAATACAATTTTATTTATAACATACTATGAATTTAAATAATTAAAATTTACTTATATTAAGTCTAAGTGTCAGAATTATGAAATGTCAAAATATAAATCACAATATTCAATGAATGCTAGATTTATAACAAATAATACTAATTCAACATTTTAGGGAATTCATACAGGACTAGTATCACTAAACAGAATGACTGTTTTACTTCTCATTAAAGCATGTTGGAACGCAAAAAAAAAGGTTTTAACATAAAGATTTATGTGCTGCCTTTCCCATTACTTCATAGTTCTGAGAGAATCTACCCTTTAGAATGACTTAGCCATGATATAATATCTATACCTATAAACAAAGATTGTATTCATTACTGTGGAATTTCAAAAATAATTCTGGCTCAGTCTGTCAGAGCTTTGCAAGCATGCTTGATGTTTTTGCTAATAGATCAAAACTTACCAATATCTATAGGCTTGACTGACATCAATGGTGACTGCAGTAATATATTTCCATTAGTGATCTTCAGCCATATAATGTAAATATGATTCAGTTTTATTGAAGATACCTGACATTCATATTTTTGGGATTTTAGAGTATTACAGTGAATGACTGTAGAATTTTCCTTTAATAAATTTGTGGAAGCATTTTCCAGTGATGTATCTGTTCTGAAAATAAAATAAAATCAGACATTTACTTGTTATTTCTTTTACTAGATCATACAGAGGACTTTATTAGAAATTCTGTAAATTGCTTGCATTATTTTTCTTATGCAAGAAATGGAAAAAAAACTGTTGTAAATGCCACAAAGCATTTTTACTTATACAAAGGCATGATAAAAATGTGCAGCCATTTTATATAATTGTATTATTAAAATTCATTTCTACATCAATATCTATAAGCACTATCAAGCGATTCCTGTGGCAGATGGAAAACAAATATTTGAATGATGGTGTACCTGTACCATTGCAACTATCCCATTTTTAGCCATTTCATCTATTTTATTAGAAGAAAATGTTCACAATATGAAATCTTCACTGGTCTCAAACTGATCAGTCAATGGAACTCCCTGTCTTGTCCTGTAAGGGGTAAATATGCTTGCTTGCAGGCCAGCTACACATTTGCAAAAAAAAACCTTCCTTTTGGAAAAAGATTTGAGAAACAAGAAAGGAGGCAGAGTGCCCAGGCAACTCCACAAGGGGGGACAATGACAAACCTTAGTGGCTTCTTCTTCCCGCTAAAATTCCTACCAACCATCCAAAGGCAACACAAACTCTCTATAATTATAAAACTTGACTCGGGGAGAGAAAACCTAATTCTGAATCTGCTTCAGTGTTTTTTTACATCTGATTTTTAAATGTCCCCATTTAACAAAGGGAAAAGAATTTGGAGATGGCCAGAAGTTGAATTGTTTTACAAGGAAAAACCACAAGACAGAAGTAAGAAGATAGAAACCTCAACTATAGAGCAGGCATGGTTGGAGGATGACATATTGTGTTGTTGTGTGAATGTGGAGTTTATGAAATCCAATACTGCTATTACTCACTTGTGTAGAAAAACTCAAAAGAATCCAAGAAGTATAACCACCGTGTGGCAATTATTTGGGCAAACTTTGCACAAACAAAAATTCCTGCAAAATATTATTGTGTATTAAAGGAAAACTTCATATGGTTGAATTTTCTGGATGAATTCCCCCATTACACAGCAAAGTTTGAAAACTACAACATTTTATATAATATTTTTTTTAAAAAATCCTATAGGAAAGGAGAAATTATTTTTCTGCAAAAAAAAAAGTTTTTTTTTGATGCTTTAAAGAACCAAATCTGGAGTGAATGAAACACTTTTTAAAGACTGAAACCATAAAATCATGCTTTTGGAGCAGGCACTCCAAAACGTACATTACAATTTTGTGTTTTTTTTTTAATGTAAGTAAGTTAAAACACGTTCATACTGTTTGGAAAATGAATTCCAGGGAAAGGTAAAGAATGGAAGGAACAAATGGAAGGATCTGAAACTCACAGTTGCCTTTGTATAATATTTTGGTATAATATTAGATCTATTCACCTTCGAATACTATTGAAATCTTTTCAGAATGAAAAGGTATAATTTTCTTGATGAATTTTTTTTTTTAGTCTGTACAGATATAATACCAACAGAATGTCAACAGAATATGCAACAAGGCAAGGAAAAAGGCTTGCAAAGAGAAATATAAAATTGCATCTGTTGCTTTTTAAAAGGCTATGCCTCTTTTCAGCTTTTTCTTCAAAATTATATCCATCAAAATATAAAATTACACTAAAACATCAAAATTAATATCCCTCAAATATTCTTATGTTATCTTCATGGTGTTAAATCTAACACTGTAGTTTATTAAGTAATTATATAATATGCTTTTCTCATTTCAAACTCTTTTGAATCAATGTGTATGAGATCTGTCTGTATGATTTTTTTAATCACATCTATTTTTTATCTTGTCTAGTTTTGCTTTGTTTTGTATTTTCTTTCTTTTTAGGAGTTTGTATTTTAATGTTCTGAATAAAATAAAATAAAANCTAGTCTAGTGTCTTAACCATTACATTAAACTGACTCTCAGCTTAAAACGAGTGCTGCTGCTAAAACTGTTCTGGAAAATTGAGGAACTTGGGGTAGTAAAAATTAGCAAAATTATGTCTTTACCATTATATTATATTCAGGAAAAAGTCCAGTTGGTAAAGAAGAAGCTGGATCTAACCCACAGTATACATTTATACAGAAAATTAGCTATAACAAGAAATCATATATGATATTATACTGTAATTAGGGGGTAGAATTACACTACAGATGCATCAAACAAATCTTCTAATTACAGTTTCTGCAGTGGAATAGGAGTAAATACTCCAGCAATAAGTATGATTTATTTGTTTTAACTGTTAGTGCAATTATAAAGTCATAAAATATATTTGAACTTAAGCACTAGTTTTAACATTTGCACAGATTATGGCATCTGCAATTTAAAAAGGAATCCATCCTACAAGTGAGAAACAAAGACAAGATATTTCAACTTACTTAACTGTAGAAATCCAGTCAAAATGTTGTTCCAGTTCATCTTGTTCTGCTTAATAGATCTTGGAGGGAAATGGGGAGAAAGATCGTTTACATTTATGCAATTTGAAGGATGTTTCACCAGCTAATTTTTTGTTTACAAAAAAATTTCAACTTTTCCAAAGACTTGGGGAGTTAGTGGGATTTTTATTAGACAAAGGCAATAATGAGGTAAATAACTGTCTTAGAAGGAATGGGCATTTCAGGTATCCAATGGATGGCTTTCTCTTTGACCTTCACCACTTGAATGTGCACATGAGTGCCTCCATACAGCAATTCAAGAAGCCTTCCTTGCTGATGACTGTGTGCTGTTGGTGCACTAATACAGTGAGCCAAGGCTGATGCTGAACAAATTCTCAGAAGTTGCTATGCTTTTCAACCTGACAATCAGATTGAACAAAACTGAAGCACTTTACCAGCCAGTGCCAAATACCATCCCTGTAGAACCACTGTTGATAGCACCCAACTGACAAATGTAAGCAACTTCAAATACATGGGAAGTATCATTGTGAGTGATGAGTCTTTGGACAACAAAATTGATTCCAGGTTCAGTAAAGCTAACCAGGCATGGGGAGGGCTATGTACTAGAATGCTCAATCAACACAACATTCATATCACAACAAAACTAAAATCTACAAAACTTTGAGTATCTCTTCCTTTCTATATGGATGTGAGTTCTCAACTCTACATCAAACAACAAAGAAATTTTCACTGGCATACTCTCTGCTCCATCTTTGGAATTTGTTGGCAAGACTGTGTCTCCAACCTGGAGATTCTGGCTTGTGTGGAGTCCACCAGCATGTACTCCCTGATTATCAAAGCTCTGATGAGCTGACTGGTACATGTCATCAGAATGAATGTCTGCCATATTCCTTGCCAATTGTTCCACAGCATACGGAAATCTAAGAAGACACTTTGAGGGCAATCATGCAAGCTCTAAAAAAACACTGAGAAAGAAACCCTGTGCCACTGTGACATCCAGACGCTGTGCTTGTGACAGAACCCGGTGAAAAGCCTTGTGCTATGGGTGCCATCAAAAACTGACAGAAAACCATGAGTGTCACAAAATAATATCCACACTTAGTAAAGAGCAATGGATTTCCATTGCCCCCATTGTGCTAGACTCTGTGATTCCAGACAGGGACTCTGGCTTCCTGTCAACAGATGAACAGCGAAATAGAATTTTTTTCTTTGAACCAAATGAATATAATAACATCATATCTATCATCACATGATATCGTGCCATAATATAGAATGGGTATTTTTGAAAAAGATAGATTTAGCATAAAGATAAAAGTACAGAGAGATATATTATATAATAACATTCCAAAAGATGTGCAGTGATGAGATTTGAAGAGGAGAGGAGAGGAGAGGAGAGGGAGAGGGAGAGAGAGAGAGAGAGAGAGAGAATCTATTGGCACCATCTTAAACCAAATGCAGGAAAATATGTGCTTTCCTTAAGATGTTACCAACAGGTGCAATGGGGGTGTTCACACATGATCCCAATGATTTTTTCCCCTTTTGGATTGCTGAGTAGCAAGTTTTTCAATGATATGTTTTACAGTACAATCTCAAAACATTAAAAATTTGTATTCATACAACACATAATTAATGGAATGTATTGCTCAAATTTATGTTCACAACCCTTTTGTTACTTCACTTTTAAAAGAAATTTTAAAAGTGTACAGAATAACACAATCAGTGACTACTAATATAATAACAAATACACATAAATCTGCAGTGAAAACCAGTGGAAACACCAGCATGCAAAGGGACTGAGGGTCAAAAATGTCATTTGCAGCAATGTGATGGAAGCACTGTTCTTTTCTATCAGCATGTGATATGATCCACAAAGGATTGGTGCTTTGATTGTACTTCCACATCCATCAAAGGATGGTACAAAGCATTGGTGCTTTGATTGTACTTCCACATCAATCATCTTCCCTTTCTTAACTTCCTCTCCTCAGAGATGAAAATGAGCATTCGGGGAGATTACTCAATTTCTTTTTAATTTCCCTAAACTTTGATGGTTTCCACAGATTCTCATCATTTATAAAATTACTGGTGGAGGTATCAACACCCTACCTCTTTATATTAGGCCAGATTGCCTTATAGAAGTATCTGCCCTACAAAGTATCATGGAATAGGTGAGAGTGAAAATATCCTAAAATATGGAAAAATAATTTTCAAAAATCACATCTACTTAAAATCAGAATTTAAAGAGTTATAGATGGATGCACATTCATATTGCAGTGTGCTCTAAAACAGACTTCCAATATTATTTCTACAGTACTGCACAGTCCCATTTATTTCTTTAAAAGCTTAAATAATTTATAGAACAATTTATGTGTGAAAGTGCAACCAAAGCCTAACTATAATAATTCATATTTATGCTATGAAGGACTAGATGAATAGCATACAATAATACTTGTCTGAAAAGTGGAGTATGAAAAATTCAGAATACTTTAATAAATGGATATTACATACGACAAAAACAAGAAAATGGTTAAATCTCTATGCTATCATAATTGTAAAGCTAATAGATTGTAAAGTCTTGAATCATCCACTTGCTTCTAGTCAGTTCTTCTAATATAAAAAGTAAAGGTCAAGGTTACAGTTTGCATGTGTATGCTTGTGCGCACAGACATATACAGAAAAAGCTTTTAATACACCTAATTCAACTTTTTATTCCAAAGAGATTGCAGCTGAAGAGCCTTCAAAGTTTTATTATTTTGTGAATAGTTGTCAAAAACTATCTCCCTTCCATTAAAAATAAAGTTCTTCCCTGGAGAGGTTTAGGGTGGGTTATACCATATATTGTTTGGGTTTTAAATTGTAGTTATGATGTTACATATTATTATTTATGCTTATTTATGAGAACCACTTACCACCTCAGTGATTGTGACAGAATATACATTTGTTTAATAAATAAATAAAACAATCAAGTTAGGTTGGAAATATTTCTGAAAATAGGGAGTTTGAACTTCACTGCCATATGTGGAGTAACAGAAATGGAATAGAAGCCTAGATTACGAAAAGAACGAATAAAAAGGACAAAATGAGTAAATCACATCGGCCTACTGTGAAATAAAGTGACAGCAAATTTATTTTACTCAAATAGGCAATGTATCTTTTTAGCTTTGTTGAAGAAACTTAAGGGCTCTATGACATCATCTGATCCAAAGGGCATTTAATCAGCATTGCTTGAGTTTCATAATATTCACAAAATGTTTCTCGTTTCTTTTCAACTACCTTGGAGATGTCAGATAATTTAAAGTTCAAGTTATTTAAAGAACACATCTCCTCCTACTTAACTTTGGTTTATATTCATTGTCAACTTTAGATTACAGGTTCCTTGAGCTAGTGGCATCATTTTCATGCTCATACCAAATGGGCCAAATGCATTATGCCTATGTAACAATAATGCATATATTAGAATACTGGAATTCTTAAAATTAACAAAATCAATAGGTATTTTCTGAAACCTCAAATAATGCATTTGCTGACATTTTAGCTTTCAGGAAGCTATTATTTCCCTTAGTCTTTCAGCCAAACTTCTGTCATGTTAGGGACAAATATAAAAATTATGTCAACACACTGGTGTTTGTTAGTGGTGTTTCCACAGATTCTGGCAGTGATAATTAAAAAGCTACATGTGATTATGTGCTAACAATATAACCTTAATTAAATAAATGATTAAAATTGGAATTCTTAAGCTCTTAACAATAATAATATCAAGACAGCACAAAAAAGACCACCAAAAACTTTCCATTTTTAACACCATCTCAATTTACAAGTGAAATAAAAATACTTGTCCATCATGGTCATAAGTCACANCATCTATCTATCATTATATCTATCCATCCATCCATCTATCTATCTATCATCTATATCTATCTATCTATCTATCTATCTATCTATCTATCTATCTATCTATCTATCTATCTATCTATCTATCTATCTCCTCATCTATCTCCTGGCTTTGTTATTTTTACAAATAACTCAAGGTAGAGAACAAATCCAGCACACCTTCCTCCTCCTATTTTCCTTACAACAGCAATCCTTTGAGGTGGGTTGGGCTGAGAGAGAGTGACTGGCTCAGTCACCCAACTGGCTTTCCTATACAAAAATACTCAAGTGTCACTCTAGTATCCAGTATCATCATATTCAGTTATAACAATCCCACTATCAAGCCTCTTTCTTGGGGAATGTATGGTTTTGATTTTAGAAGTTCTTTCTCCCCCTGAGCCTCTTGCACCAAGCCTTCCTCTTTGTAGTAAATAGCCCTCACATGTCAGAAAAGATGGTCTAGGTCCTTTCAGGCTACCCAGCAGTACTTTCTCACCCAGTAGGTGAGAAAGTCAGTTTCTATGACCAGCCTTTGTATAGCGTAACCCTGTAGAAGCTGTATTGAAAGATAACCTTGCAACAGCTCAGTAGAAACTAATACTAAAAGTATGTAGCTCTTCTCAAGATAATGATGTACCTTGAACACAACTACTCATTGTCTTAAACTAATTTAGTCTTTGGGGGGGAGAATAATGTACAAATATTATTGCAAACTGTATTTAGTCTTTATGAAAAAGAAATCTTGGCTTGCCAATTACCACAGTTTCACCAAATTTAACTGCTTTAACAATTGTACCAACCTGAGAACTCTTGTAGCCAGATGTTAGCTTAAGGAGATGGATAAATAAGTTGAAATATGTTTGCATATGGAACAAAATTACAAATCAAACATTGAAGGTTGTGTCCCCAAATCAGATAGTTAGATACCAATCCTCACTATTTCCTTTCCTCCTGATCCTCCCCACTTCTCCTTTTATCCTAAAAATAAGACCTAAGATAGACCATGCCCCACTAACCAATTTTAAAGGAGAATTATTTTAAACATCTTCCCATTTCGGCCCACAATAGATATAGCTTAACATTGTTTATCAATCAAGCCAGACTTCCAAATTGAATCAACAGTTTAGCTCTGATATTTTAAAATATATTTGATGATACTGAAGGATGTTTTATTATATTGATTCAGGTAAGTTTGAATAAAATATCATATATTTATTTTACTTAACTTTAGTAACTGAATTCCTAAAATCAGGAGTGGCTTTCTTTTGGCTTTCTTGGGTCTTGAAAAAAACTGAGCTACTATAATAAATAGTACAGAGGTGCTCACTTCTAAATATTTTTTGAAACATACAGAGTCCTATTATACAGGTATTCTTTCGGGGCAAATGATGCAAACACCATGACTTACTAGCTCCAAGGCTGATTTGGGTTACAATTTTATAATTAAATGTTATTTTATGTTGGTTAAAATAAAGATACCATTTTTCCTAGATCCTGATACAAGTATGTGATTATTTTTTCACATGCATATTATCATTTTGGCATCTTGATAATTTGCTGTGGATGCCACTGCCTGATTGTTAACTTTCCTTAGTTTTCTGGGGCTTAGATTGCTGTATAAGCGATAGCATTTATTTTGAATCAATATACTATGCAAAATCAAATTCAATCCTGAGAGGATTACATACTGAAGAAGACTATGATCTGTTCTATGACATTCTAGAGTCACAAGGCATGGAAACAAGATCTTAGCTTATAGCAGGGGTGTCAAACTGACGGCCTGCGGACCAGATATGTCATGCGCAGGCCACACTCACCCCAGCTCCACTGGGAAAAACATCATCAAAACATGACAGCAAAGTGACACAGTGAGTTTGACACCCATAGCTTACAGAAAAACAGATTCAGATGAAAAGTTAGGGAAATTTTACCAATAATAATATCAGGACAATAATGAAAGTATCAATGGAGGTAATGGGCTCCCCATCAGTAGAAGTTTTTCCAACAACACAAGAAAGA